CTTTGGCCCTGTGAATAGCTTCATGTACGCTGAGAGCACTGTGTTCCAAACCACACGTTTTTATACCCTCGCATTTCGCGCTCTCGTCACCCTCCAAATTTTGATTCAATTTTTTTTGATAATCACACAACTATTCTCGATTGTTTAATATTGACCAAGGTCACTGATTTCTGCCACAATGCCGACGGAGCTGGAAGAGGTGAGTTTGCCATCTTTGATGGGCGTGGATTTTTATTTGTATCTCCGACTCGTCTTCACATCAGAAAAATGCTAACAGGGCCAGCTCGTGGGCTTTATCGGCCACGAAAACCCACAAATAAGACTGCTTGCTACCGAGAACCTGGTGGCTTACTCAACATCACAGCCTTCCATCTTCAAAGTCAACAACCTCGAGCCGATTAGCGAGCTGAAGATTCTGGTGGCAGATCACCCCAAAATCGCAGAACATGCGCTCACAATCCTCATCAACCTGACGGGCGATGCCGACATTTTAACAGATGTGGCTTCAGACGACAAGTTCCTGGAGTTGTTGTTCCTCCTGCTAACAGTATGTTTGCGGCCCGAGCGAAACACGGCCGGACTTTGCTAACGGATGCATTTTTAGAAAAAAGAAGAGGCCAATGCCAACCTATTAGCAATGCTGCTGGCCAATCTGGCCAAATGGGACGGCCTCAAGTCCATCCTCGACCGAAAACAGGACGCGCCAGAGGGCCTCGGCTCCGACGACCGTGTCATCAACCAGGTCATGGACCTTTTTGTCAAGGGCGCCGACGGCAGCTACAACAAGCACGCCGACTACGATTACCTGGCCTACTTCTTCGCTGACCTCGCCAAACACGCCGAGATCCGCCAATACTTTGTCAAGCGCCAGCCCTACGACGACGTGATTCCCTTAACAAAGATCCGCGTCTTTACCGAGCACAAGTCAGACGTGCGCCGCAAGGGCGTTGCCAGCACGATCAAGAACGTCGCCTTTGACATTCCCTCGCACCCGGCCATGTTGGACGAGGACGACATCAACATCCTGCCGTACCTCTTGCTGCCCCTCGCCGGCAACGAGAGCTACGATGAGGACGAGATGCTCGACATGCTGCCGGACCTGCAGCTGCTGCCACCTGACAAGCAGCGCGATCCAGACGCTACCATCTTGCAGACACACGTCGAGACCTTGACGATCTTGACGACGACGCGACCCGGTCGTGAGATGATGCGTGCCGTCAAAGTGTACCCGTTGATCCGCGAGACACACCTACGCGTAGACAATGAGGATTTGCGTGACGCATGCGACCGGCTGGTGCAAGTGCTGGCACGAGATGAGGCGCCCGACGAAAAGGATGACGCCGCAAGTCCCAAGGCGCGCATCACAGAGGTTGAAGACGAGGACGAGGACGAGCGAATAGTCGAGGTGTAGAAACTGGCGAGTGATGAAAAGACGAACAAAAAAAAATAAAGAAACAAAAGGCTCAAGCAAGACGAAAGACTTAAACGACACGTGGCGTACACAAAATGAGATTTGAGTTTTCTTTTTTAGAAAGAAAAAAAGCCACAACAACTTTGCAACGTAGCAACAATGACACATGTTAGCTCGCGCTCACCACATTCTGCACACAACCTGGATCGAAGTGAGCTCGCAATGGAAGCAAAGTCAGACGATTGATGACCGGGAATATGTGGAAAGCACACGACTCGAATGCAGCATGCAACATTGGTCCCGGGCACCTGGCAGACCGGACAGACAAATAAACCGGGGTTCCTCGAGTACGGAATGCGTCGCGCAATGTCGAACCGTCGTCTGTCGTAAGCGTTACCGACGACGTTCGCGGGATAAATTCAAGCCAAGCCACAGCGGGTACAAGTGTACATACTTTGGAGGGCATTTCATATCCGCACACCCACGACTCATGAATTCAGAGTGCCACGACGCTTCATCGATGGGACGAGTGAAGATTTCCGTTTGGCTTCCGTGACCCAGAGCCTCACCCGAGTTTCTGTGACGTTGGCCAAGAGATGAAGGAGACGTGCGTTCTTAACTACGTCCTTTACGGAGGAAGTAATATTTGCATACGACGTATTGTCTCGGGGGAACACGAGGACATCGAACAACCACGATAACCTAGGGCCAAGGGGCTTGGGCTACAAAACAATAGCGAAGCGATCATGCACACGCCCTCATCTATCTCCCCCACCCCACCAGATATACCACGCCTATGCCTACGGGTATGGCTCCATCGCCAAGAAATTGTACGATATATTCCATACGACGTACAGAGCAGAAACGAGAACTGGGGGTGAGGGGGTTGAGATAGGGTAGACTGACCTGAGGATACTCCATCCAGGAGTCTGCACGCTATTTTCAACGAAAAGGCCAGGCCAAGACACACGACCTGGGACCGTTCTTGAAGAGCGACACCGCCTAGCCAAGTGCGACACAATCAAGCTTCGCCGTTACTGTTGACGGGGCGGCGGACATGACCCGTTGCGGCATGGCATGATCGCGACCAGGGGAATTCAAACTTTCCAGAACTCGCCCAAGAGACCATGCCAAGACATAGCCGAGGATGGCCGTTCTTCAACAACCTCCATGCTGCCTTCCAAGAGCTTCCAAGGCCGACCTTTCGAGAGATGGTCGACATACCGTCACAAAAATCTCCCCAAAGGCTACTCTGAAGTTTTCGAAAGGTCGCCCCAACATTTCTGCAGGTATTTCTTTTTTTGCGGTTCGCATGTGGCGTTCGTTGACATGCTGGAGGACGGGCGTCTGGAACGGTCGGTGGCAAGCTGAGTTGGGCTTGTCAGCCGGTCATCGAAGGGAAGGGTCGGAGGCGTGCGAAGGACCTAGCCTGAACGAAAGAAATGAAACTCTCGCAGAAGAAAGGGAATAGATATGTGGGGAATGCAAAGCGACGTCCCAGCCGACACAAAACCCCAAGACCGTCAGTTTAATAAAAAGAGAGAAAAAACGTGGGAGGGTGTTGTCGGATGGCAAGATGACGGTCATGACGACCAAGATGGCTAAGGTAAGGCAAGTTGGAAGCGACCGGATCAAACATAGAGCAGGGATAGAAAAAACATGGAAAGTGGAAATAGGAAGCGAAGGCGTGCCACAAAAAGAGAAACAAAGAGGTTTACAAAGAGGGTTGGAGGACAATAGTAGAACAATGAAAAGTAGAGAAAACAGAAAATGGAAAATATACCACGCCAGAAACGAAAGAGGGTGGGGGATGAAGGTGTTCACAGATAAGCCCAAAAGCAATATTCCAAAAAAGGACAAAAATATAAAATGAGAATAAACTCATTTTATCAATGCGAATTCTCCATCTTCATTTTGGGAAACGACAATTGTTCTGCCAGCCAAAAGTAACATCACGACCGAGATGGCTTGTAGGTAACGAGAGACCACACAAAATAAAAGGCGAACAAAACTTCAATAGAATTGCTCCGTAGGCTCACAAAAGAGTAATAAGATACGCGTCCGCTCCTTTTGTATTGCCAAGACTTGGAATCCAGAACCAGAGGCCAAAGCTGCCGAAGACGAAAAAGTCACAAAAGTTGAGCACGAGAGCAGCTCGTGGATGAATTCGACGGTGTCGTTGGCCAAAGCTGGCCAGGGACGTCAGTGGAGTTGGGGGGATTATCTGGAGAGTTAACAAAGGACCAAACGACGTAGAACAGGCACGCTAGAAAAACCTACACAGTTCTAGACCCATAGAGGAGAAAAGTGTGTGGGTGTCGGCGACCTTTGGGGAGGTTGACGACCCAGAGATGGGGGAAGGGTCGCCAGGGCACGTTTGTGGCGTACGACGTCAGGGAATGACGACTCGGGTGACCGAAGGCACTTGATGCGTTTGGCCATTGCCTCGGAGGGTGCGCTTGTTTTGGCTTTGTCTGCTGGCTACAAGATACATTCGTATGCCTTTTTCGTAATGCTGCAATATTGATGTTGGACGTTCAAAGTGGGCCCGCACTCGGAAAGGCTGAGGTGCCAGGCAACCAATCAGAGGATAGATCTACGAAACGTGCCTTCTCAAGCAACTGCAATTCATCAGATCTAAGGTACCCGCTCCACCCGGATGGTCCGTGCCCGGCCCCTGCTAACACTGGAAGCTACTGAAATTCTGTAAGATGATTGGCCAGACGGGAACGTCCTGCTATTCAATGAGGAAACAGGAGGGAAATCGCGACCGACCAACTCGACGGTTGACTGCCTCATTTAGGGCCCGCCGAAAATGAGCGTCTTTTCTTATTTTAGTGGAATCAGAGGCCTGGCACGCGATGGATACCTCTGCCCCGTTGCCACGAGCTGGATTGGGCATGGCGAGTAGCGAGAAGAAGGGACCCGTCGCGAAGAATGCCATAGCTTCAACGAAGATAACCATTGCAGCGACGTAGTATGTATGCTATCCGAGTCTAGATCCAACGACTTTTAATTCAAGCTCTGCCCTATTCTGACATGGACTGGAGATGTTGCCAAGTCGGGAAAGGGCGCCGGCGGTCGAGGGCGAAATTGACAGGTGAACCGCGCGAGGGGCGAGAACACGGAGGATGAAGAACAGTAAACAAAGGAACAAGAAACTTTCCAAAACCTCATGGGAAACCCTAATTGGCAATGGGGACGACGGAGTCAGCGATAGCAGAGGAGCCAAGACGATCGAAGAATCAGGACGTGAAAGAATAGGTTGGCGAGCGTCTCAAGCAAGGCTTTTCGAAGCCATCTAGGCTCCTTGCCTGGCAGACCTGTGACTGATTCAGATTGCTCCAGCAAACCTTCGTCGTGCTTGCCGTCACGTTTTGTTGCTGTGAGGGGTGCTGGCAGTGACTGATTCTGCCCTGGGATCCTTGGCTCAAGTCGCCCTAGGCCGCTATGAGCAGCAATCGGTCACTGAATGAAGAGAACCGACGCCCTGAGATCGTTCACAAGAAAGGCGCAGCTTGGAAACTATGAAGCACGGCATCCATTTAGATCAGCAGCAGCTTGCAAAAAGTCGAACTTGCAACCAAGTCTAGACGACTTCAGAGTAGAATAATGTCCCTACATGATGGCGTCGATGGCGATGCCAGGCGACGACCATACGGACGAGAGGGGTGTAGATGTAAAATACAATGTGCTGTGGTGCCCAGCGATATTCCAGATCATCCCAGTTGGGGTGTACCGTCGTCCCAGGTTGCCTGTCTATCGTGCGGCTGTTGCTGCTGCATACTGCTCCTGCGGCACTTTTCGCTGGTCACGCATGTGCCTGTCCATGTTCGGTGTAATTTCAATGGAGAGTCCAATGGCGCGCTTCCGCAGTGATTCCATGGTGAATTACGCGTTGCATAAACGCAGCATCAAGTATTGTGAGCAGCGACACGGTGGTTTGACTGCGTTGACTGGTTGACTGGTTGACTTCCTCAAACCAGTCACCGAGCTTGGCAGCCACCCCCTCCCACTCGCGAGCCTCTTTTTCTTGTTGACACGCCCCCTCCCCCTTTCTCCCACAGCTCAATCCCTGCAGACAACCAGGCAAGGCACCCTGTCATAATCACGAGCCTACTTAGTACGTTATAAAGGTTGGGGCGAATTTCGTTACACCTGCAGGAGGGGACGCTATGCGTGGGTGAGTGGGCCTGTCTTTCTTCTTCACAAAGTCTATTTTCTCTCGGTGGTCATGTTTTGCAGTGGCTCTTATTGCTCCTGCTTCTTTCCTCTTTGGGCTCGGTTTACAAGTCAATTGTGGGTACCGTTTTACGTCTCTTTTCGCTTTTGTTTCCTTTTTCTTTCCATTTTGTCTCTGTTTTCGCGTCTTGTCCCTGGTCTCGTGAGGCTTTGCGTTGTGTCGGTACCTCGTGTCAACCTTGAAGCCTGGATCTGGACCTTGGCAGGCTTGTCCCCCCCCCCATCATGCGCCGTTGTACTGTGCATCTTCCTTTTGGTATAAGACGTTGACCATCGTCTTTCATTCCTCACATTCCACCCCCTGCTTCTTTTCGTTATTTCGTTTCTCTTTTCTTTCCTTCCCCGTTCTTTCCAAGGCCGCTTTCTTCACGAATCCCGTCCATCCACTCTGGCACATCTGTGTTTGCGTGTGTGTTGACTGCCTCTTCTTGTTTCTTCTCTTCACTCATTTATTTCTTTTCTTATTTTCACTGCCCCTTCTTCATCGCAACGCAATGGCCGACTACGAGGCCCAGGCTCCTGCCGTTTCGGGCGGCCCCGTCCAGAAGACATCTGGCGGCAACGCAGCCTACCACAACTTCCACAACGACTTCATCCACGTCCAGGACCCCAACGAGCGCCGCCGCCTCGCCCTGGCTGAGATCGACAAGGCCCCCTTCGGCTGGTACCATGTGCGCGCCATCGTTGTTGCCGGTGTCGGTTTCTTCACGGATTCGTACGACATTTTCGCCGTCTCGCTGCTCACCATCATGCTGGGCATCGTCTACTTCCCCGGCGTCGGCGTCATGCCCAACAAGTCGGATACCGCCATCAAGCTGGCCACCTCGGCCGGTACTGTCGTTGGTCAGCTGGGTTTCGGTACTGCTGCTGATTTGGTACGCTCCGCTCCGAGCTCCTTGCTTCTTTTTTCGACTCACTTGTGGCTCGCTTCGATCTATTTTGACCACCACTAACAATGCACAGCTCGGTCGTAAGCGCATGTACGGTCTGGAGCTGATTGTCATCATCTTCGCCACGCTTGCCCAGGCCCTTTCGTCCGGCTCGCCGTCTGTCGACATTATCGGCGTGATTATCTTCTGGCGTGTGTTGATGGGCATCGGCATCGGTGGTGACTACCCCCTGTCGTCCATCATTACTTCAGAGTGAGTTGTGATTGTATTCGTACGAGGACTGTGAACGTCGCTAACAGTTCAGGTTCGCTACTACCAAGTGGAGAGGTGCCATGATGGGCGCTGTCTTCGCCATGCAGGGCCTGGGCCAGCTCACGGCCGCCTTCGTCATGCTGTTTGTCACTCTCGGCTTCAAGGAGTCGCTCAGCACCTCCACCAAGGTCGCCAACTGCACGGGCGTCTGCGCCCTGGCCGTCGACAAGATGTGGCGCACCCTGATCGGCTTCGGCGCCGTCCCTGGCTGCATTGCCCTCTACTACCGGCTGACCATCCCCGAGACGCCCCGCTACACTTTTGACGTTGCCCGCGACGTCGAGAAAGCCGACGAGGACGTCAAGACGTACATAAGCGGCCGCCACGGTGAGGGTGTCGTCGACGAGGTCGCCCGCGCCGCCGCCCACAAGGCTACCGCCGAGAAGCTGGACGTCGGCAAGGCCAGCTGGCGTGACTTCTTCAGCCACTACTCGCAGCTGAAGAACGCCAAGGTCCTCGCCGGCACTGCTCTGTCGTGGTGCTTCCTCGACATTGCCTACTACGGCCTGTCCCTGAACAACGCCACCATCCTGGGCACCATTGGCTACTCCACCTCGGGCACCCACTCCACCTATGAGTACCTCTATAACACCGCCATTGGCAACCTGATTATTGTCCTGGCTGGCGCCGTGCCTGGCTATTGGTTCGCCGTTGCTACCATTGACACGGTCGGCCGCAAGCCCCTGCAGCTCGGTGGCTTCGCCATCCTGACCGTCCTGTTCATTGGCATGGGCTTCGGCTACAAGCACCTGTCCTCGGGCGGCCTGCTGGCCATTTACGTCCTGGCCCAGTTCTTCTTCAACTTCGGCCCCAACACCACCACGTTCATCGTGCCCGGCGAGTGCTTCCCCACTCGCTACCGTTCTACGTCGCACGGTATCTCGGCCGCTTCTGGCAAGATCGGCTCCATCATCGGCCAGGGTGCCATTGCTCCCCTGCGCACCCGTGGCGCCACGTCCACCAACTCGGCCCCTTGGCTCGACCACGTCCTGGAGATCTACGCCCTCTTTATGCTTCTGGGTTGCTTCTCTACTCTGCTGATTCCGGAGACCAAGCGCAAGACGCTCGAGGAGCTGTCGGGCGAGGACCAGGACTACATCCCGGGTCCCAGCCCTGTCATTGAGGGCGGCAACGGCGTCTTCGTCGAGAACAAGCAGTAAAAGGATTCTGGTGGAGAGGAGACGAGGCGAACGGATCAGATGACTAGTACCAAAGAAAAAATAAAGTCAGAAAAAAAAGACACGAATATGAGAAACATGTAAATTTGCTTTTTACCTCCTTTCAGCTATACGGTCAATTTTTCTGTTTTTTTTTGTTCTTTATTATGTTTTGCCCCTGTCTCTCGTTTCCAGGTTTCGTTTCGCTCTCTTACCAAGCATTCCTCCCACACCCCTTCCATGACCAGATCAGACCATCGTGCACATCCCGGACTCCTCTTCACATTCCTTCATTATCTAACTTTTCCTTCTCATTTTGTAATAGCTGCCTTGCCGCACTGTGCACTTTTCTCTCTCTCTTTTTTTACACCCTCAGATATCCAGATCTCTGTTTTTATAATAGCATCATTAGAACCTGGAACGACCAGAAACGAAATGAACATGAAAGTATAGCAATTGCAAGACTTGTACGAAGCAAGAGACGCAAAATGACATTGAATAAAATACAGAGATTTGGAATCCGATACGTGCTAGACTTAAGCTTGTACAATTTTCATTTTCTATCTTGCCGAGTATACCTGTATATCCATTCGTAGTATGTACAACAGCCCCTGAAGGGCCCTTTGAACTTTGTGACTGACGATATAAGATGTCTAGCCAACCGCGCTCCATCTATATATGCTCGCTGTCGTCTTGTGGTCGTACACAAGAGGCGTCACTTTTGTCGACATTCGTCGGTAGGGTGACGTGACGTGGGAAGTGAAGTTTGAACTGTGAAGGAACGATGAGATGAAGATGAGACAGGAAGAAAATCTAAAATCAAGGAAGGTGGGCGGTGAAGATGTGTCGTCCACAGCCGTATGCATGTGATAAAACAAGAACCAGAATAAAGAACACGCTTCCTTCCCAACGTGAACGCCAAATCCATCGCAGAAAATGATTTCCAAAAGACGTCCAACCGCCGCCCACCGGGTACCGCCAATTGCCGGTCCCTTAAATACCAAAGGCCCGTTTTAATCGCTCGTACGTGTAAAACGCCGCGGCCGCCATCGGGACAATCTTGACGTAGCCAATCGTCAGACCCACAAAGAACCCGCGGATGCCGCGCTCCCGCATAATCAGCGACGCCGTCTCACCAATCCGCAGCCGGTGGCCGTCGCCCACCGCACCGCTCACCTGCATGCGCCGCCGGATCACTTCGAGCGGGTATGACGCCGTCTGCGACACCAGACCAGCCACGCCACCCGCCAGCAGCTCGGCCCACGACCGCAGCGGCAGTGGCTTGTCGACCGGTGCGTTGGGCGGCGCGGGCAGTGTCGTGTACTTGGCAAACACGGGCATCCGCAGCACGTCGCCGGCCGTGTCGTGGGTCAAAAAGGACATGCCGGCGTAGGGCAGCATGCCCAGAATGGTGGGCGTGAAGCCGCGGTAAAAGTTGCGCAGCCCGGACCGGGGCAGGGTGGCGGCCACGGCTTCCGTGACACCTGCCGCCACGCCCTCCTTGCTGGCGTTGGTCGCCGCGGTCGCTGCGGCATTCCGGTCGATCGACTGCTCCGTGTAGATGCGCCGGCAGATGGAAGCCAGTGTCGAGTGCCCGTCGCGCCGCGTCTCAAAGGCCAGCCGCACGCGGATCACCTCGAGCGGGTACGTCACAAACACCGACGTCACGCCAGCTAGCGAGCCGCTCAGCAGCCGCCGCAGCGGCGTCTCCTTGTCCTTGTGCGGGATAATAAATGACCGGATCTGCTCGTACGCAATAAACTTGACGGCTGCGTACGGAAATACCCGCAGCAGCGTTGCCGAGTGGCCGCGGTACAGGCCCGTGACGCCGTCCTGCTGGTAGATGATGCGCATGGAGTGTGCAACGCCAGACCAGGAGCCCGAATACTTTGCAAACTGCGGGTTGCTCGCCTGGAACAAGATCTTGACGCGGTCCAGCGGCGCCACGATCGTCTTGGCCACGCTGCCGGCCACACCGCCGGCGACGCCGGACCGCCAGAGGTAGTCGACGCTCTGTTTGTCTAGCGTTTTCCGTTCGCCTGCGTGTGTCGTGGATATGGATACGGGGGTCGACGTGGTCGCCCCGTCGTTTCCGCCGTTGCGGCTCTCGCGCGGCCGGGCCGACTGTGCTATCTCAGACATGGTGGGCGAAGAGAAGCTGGACGGGGCAGTCGGCGCATGGTTCGCGAGGGTTGATGTCATTCCCACGCAAGAATGGAGGGTGTGTGTCGGAGTGGGGGGAGAGAAGGAAGACGACAGAAGTAATGACGTCGAGTCGATTTGACGTCAGAACAGTAAGAAAAACAAGGAGGGACGACAGTCTCGGCCGTGGGTTGTTCGGAGGAAAGAACAGGTTCGTCTGTGGGAAGCAAGGAACGAATCGAGCGGCGTTGATGGTGGCACGCTATATAGTGTCGTTAGACTTGCAAAGATTCGCCGAGCCCTGCGATTTCGATTCGAGGCCTCGCCTTCCCCCGGTATTAGTCCTCTGCACTTGCGCTTCTGCCGTTTGGCGGTTTTAGCGGGCGTGGAGAGGCCTCGCCTTTAGCGGCATCGGTGAGGGTGACTGAACCAAAGGGCGCCGAGGGATTGCTAAACTCACATAATTTGGTGGTAAGACGTAGGGATAGACGGCAAGAAGATGTTCCTTCCTGAAATGATAGCGAAAAGGAGCAACATAAAAAGGGAAGCTTCGAGGCAAGGCGCTGCTTTCGCACCAGGTCGCCGTCTCACTTTTGCGGGAAGCGACGACTCGCACGACTGAGCCGGTGACGATTCTAACTCTACAAAAGCAAGAGCCGCCTGAACTGGGCCAAAAGTATGCATGCGGCAGGCGCAATGGTCATGTGCCCTTCACCCAAACAGCGCCAAAGTGCCCACAAATGGAAAATTTCGCCTTCCACCCTCCATTCTACAGCATTCCGTCACCGAACGTGACCATTTGTGGCACCTCCGTCATCATTCCTTCCCCTAAAATTTTCTGTTAACCCCGGTAAAGTCGCCCGCCTCTCCTTCCGAGCCGACAATTGCCGAGCCACTTTACCACCAATGCTCTTGATGGTAAATGCACAGCAGGAGTGTGCCCAGCTAGAGGTTGGCTGCAGACACGTGAAAGTCACCAGCGACAACCAGACAGGCACAGGCTCAATGTGCCAAAACACACCTGTATTAAGTCGCCCCTATCAACGGCCAACAGTGGTCAACAACGGCAACTTGCCCCCAATTGCAACCCCATATTGGGGCTTCGCCTTACTTCACGTCTTCCCCGGATTCGGAACGCCCTGGATTACTGCTGAGCTTTTATAGGCGTCTCGGCTATCTCACTGCTGCTGGACTGCTGGCTGATGTCGCGCCCATTTTCATCAATCTTGTTTGAGACTGCGGATCGCTCTGTTGTTGTTGTCGACCTGCCAAGGTCCATTGAGGAGGTGCAAGACGTAATCGGTATTGGTGACGGTGATGTCGCTGGTATAGCAAACAGTGGTCGGCAGCAACGCTGCCAACGATTGATTTCGACGCCAGCGCCTACAGAGCCCTTTGATACACCACGAGGCTCGGATACCATCGACTATGCGGCCGGTCGAAGCTTGGCTGGCCAGCTGGCCGAGTTGACGACCCGGGCTTCCGTGGAGAGCGCTCTCCGTGAGCTGAAGACAGCCGCGTTCGACGGCCCGTGGTGTCTTCCGCGTTGCCTCTCAGATCACGCAGTCCAGACAGACGCTAGTGAGGGCCAGCCCGACGACCCGCTCATCCCACCCGGGGCACGTTATCTGGACGGGACTATTGCAGACCGCCGAGACGAGTTCCTCGCCGCTGCGCCCGAGTTCGACGTGATCGTTATGGACCCGCCGTGGCCCAACCGGTCGGCTCGGCGGCGACGGCAGGGCCGCAAGAGAAAGCGCAGTGCACTGGATAAGGGGGAAGATGCAGAAGTACATGGCACCGACAGTGGCTACGACACAGCTTCGGACATGGCCGTTCTGCGGGACATCTTGGGACAGATCCCCGTTGGTGCAAAGCTGGCCCGTAGTGGAATCGTCGCTGTGTGGGTGACCAACAAGCCAGCCTGCGAGGCCCTCCTAACGGACGCCAAGCATGGCCTGTTCCGCACATGGGGGGTCGAGCTGGTGGCGACTTGGACCTGGGTCAAAGTGACCAGCAGCGGCGAGCCCATCGTCGCGATGGACGCGCAGTGGCGCAAGCCGTGGGAGCGTTTGTTGTTGGCTCGACGGCCAGCTGGAAACGGAGGCATCTCATCAACGGCTCTCCCTGCGCATCGTGTGATCGTGGGTGTTCCCGATGTGCACTCGCGCAAGCCGCACCTTAAGCCACTGTTGGCGCCGTTCTTGCCGTCTTTTCCTGCTTCAGAGATTCGTGGACTTGAAATATTTGCACGGAATCTGACGTCCGGTTGGTGGGCATGGGGTAATGAAGTGCTTCTGTTCCAGCACCCGTCATGGTGGACAACAGCTATAGAGCCAGAAGAGGCTGTCGTTGATACCAAATAATAGAGGCGCACACTAGCTAGGCAATAAATATCAAACACCGCACTACCATACCGAAATTATATATGGAATGCTTTTGGAGATCTGTTTGATTTGACATCATACACGGGCAATATGCACTAAAAGACAGAAGCCCTTTTCTAATCCTACATGAACCGTTGTTAATAACCGTTGTTAAATCAAGAAAGAGAGACAAACAGATCCCGCGCCTCATGATCGCTTGATGTCGCTGCTCGCCGGCTTGCTGTCCTCCTCCACAACCGTCTCCCACCGCTCGTCCAGCTCCACGTCGTTGCGCCACTTCCGCTCGCCTGTCACTAGCTCGCGTGCTTGCCGTGCCAGTCCGACCCGGAATGCCGGCACGTGGTCGGCCTCCCCGCGGAGCAAGAACTTGCGCTCGTGCATCATGCGCTGCTGGTCGTCCTCTTGCGCTTTTTGCTGCGCCACCAGCCGCTTGTTCATGTCGTAGTCCCAGTCCTTGCGCGGATCGTCCTCCGTGCCCAGCTGCTCCTTTGTCGGCACGGCCGGCGGCTCTGGGAACGCAAACGGCTTGACCAGCTCCACCATCATGCGCTTGATCGGTTGCGGGCGGTACCACTGGCCCTTGCCAACCGCCACAATGTCTCGTGTATTGTCGTCGTCCTGCATCTCCACGTAGCGGCGCCGCGGGATCTGTGGCGTCAGCCAGGAGCGCACTGCGCGCACCTCCACACCGTATGCGTGGTAGAGGTAGTCGCGTAGGTCGAGCTTGTTGAAGCGCAGCGGCACCTGGAATGTGGCAAAGTATGGCGAGAAGATGCGCCTCGGCGGCAGCATCTTGATAACGTGTGAGGGGCTAGGCATGTGAGTCATGAGCCGGTTGGAATTCGCAATGGCACTCGCAATGGTTTCTCACGACTCACAGGAAGACTTGTTTCTGGCCGACGCGGAAACTCGGTCCGGCCTTGGCGACGGCCTCTGTGGCCGCCGCCGCCGCTTTTGTTGACATTGTATGTGTGTGTTTATGGGTGTAGTGGCATCCAATGGATCCGCGGATGGATGCTCGACGGCGGTAAACAGGTACGTGGGTGTGGGCGTCGTGCGCGTGATGGTCGTTCGACCTGTACCAGACACCCGCGAAAATAGGCGATGTTCAAAAGTTTCTCCTCGAACGACAGATTTAAAAAGTGGACCAAAATCAAGCTTGCCATTGGCCGGAACCAATTCGTGGGGTCACGTGCGCCACCAACGGCCATCTTCAACTCGAAAATACTCGTCGATTTCCAATGCATGCACTGTTTTCAAATGCTAAGATCATAAAAGTTAGAAGAAACGGAATGTGGCGACGATAAAAAGATAAAGTTTAAAAGTTGGGTCGTAAATTTTAAAGGACATTTCTGTAGTTCAAAAGCCGTCCTAGTCGCCATCAGAGGTCGTACGATAGAGTCAAGAAACCAATCAAAATCGACAACCTTCTTAAACAATGCACTTGAATTATGATACGAAACAGTTCTTCATAATCGTTATTTTACGGAGACAAACAGAAAACAGAAATAGGCTAGCTAGACAGAAAAGGAGTAACCAAAGCATAGATATGCCAAACCATTCGCCAATTAGAGATTGATCAGCTCCAGATCGGAAAAGTCGGGCGGCGCGCGGCCGTAGACGACGCGCACTTTGCTGTCGAGTGCCGTGCCTGCATTGCTGATCCAAATGTAGTCGCTGAGGTTGCACGTGTGCCGGATTTCGTCGTCACTGACACCAATGTCGTCCCGGGGAATCCACACTGTTGGCCGGTGTGCGCGCAGCGCCGAGTGCTTGAACGCTTCTTTGACAAGCACGTCGCGCTCCTCGGGTGTCAGGTCTTCGATCTCGTCATTGTACCCGCCATACAAGGCTTCGCCCATGGCGCGCTGCGCTTCCAGATCCTTTTGGCGCCGCTGCTGCCGGTATGCCGCTGACGTGCGCATGCTGTCTTCGGCTTTGCCCAGCGTAGCATAACGGACCTTTTTGCCGCCGCGCGCGGCCCATGTGCCGGCAGTGACGATGCCACGGACCGGGTTAAGTTTGTTGGTCAGGCCAAACGAGTTCTGGGGGCCTTTTTGGCCAATCTTTTTCAGCTCGACATCGTTGCTGTTGCCCTCGGACAGTGCAGCGGCGGCTGTCTTGCTGTCGGCACCGGTCAGCGTGGAAAGCTCGTCGCTGTTCCCTTCTTCGTCGTCTTCGCCGTCCTCGCCACCTGCGGTCAAGCCAAGGCGGCGGTCCTGTGCTCGCTGGAACATCTCGTCGCGCAGCACGGCCTCGTCCTCAAATGTGATAGGGAGATACCGCAGTAGGGGTCCAAAAGACACGTTCAACAGCACCTGGAAGCCCACGGTCAACGCCAGAACGACAATCATTACAATGGCCTGCGGCGCGCAGGCTACGTCCCCGTTTTCATTACGGACGAGGAAGAAGAGGCCGATGAGGCAGAGCTCCATAAAATAGAGGCCGGTAAAGGTCTGGTTGATGGCTCGCGGGTACAGCACGCCACCCGTGTCAATCTTAAAGCGCGTGACGTAAATCATGTTGTAGCGGTAGGCAACCCAGAGGAGCGCAAATGTGATGATAGCAAAAATGGCGATGAGAGGCGCGATGACGGCGTAAACCAAGGCGATACAGGCAAAGTTAGTGTACACCGGGAAGAAGGAGCCCCACGAAATGGTTGGGAGGTCCGTCTGCCGGCGCCACTTGCTGCGGGCTGTGTCGTCCAAAATGCGCGCCAGCACGTACCAGACAAGGAGCACACCGATCTGGAGCAGCGTACCCGAGCTGGTCGACATTGCCTGCAGAATCATGTAGCTGAAAAAGTAGTTGGCGGCTTTGGGCAGATTCTTGGCGAGCGTCTCGGGTATGCCCTGGATGTTGGTCACGGTGTCTTGGAGCGTGGCAATGGCACCGCTCGCAATGGAGACAACCAAGAACACCTGTACGAAGAGGAAGAAAAAGTAGTACATCTGAACATACTCGGCCTTTTGGGATCCCGTCTTGGCGCCTTGGAACTTGGCCAAAAATTCGAGAAGGATGGGCACAAAAGCAAGAAGAAGCGATAGTAGCAGGGCTGGCAGCACACCCGCAACAGCTTTGGCAACATTGTAGGTCACTGCGTTGTTGTCGATAAAGCTCAACCAGGAGTACCTCTTGACCAGCGAGTCGATCTGGGACAGCGACGAAGTGAAGGCGACGGGGAACGCCCACAGAATGGTCATACCAAAGACAATACCGATGACAATAAACGTACGCAACCACTCGTCCCACCAGCGGATGGCCATGTTGTCCCAGATGACGTCGCTGGGCGAGACCTCGACAACGCGGGGCGACATGTGTTTGGGAACGTGGTGGGTGACGCTTTGGCAAGCCATGTGTGCAGCGACCTGGTTGTTGAATTGGATAAACGCCGAGTTCATCTTCGGGTAGCGCTCGTGCTCGTGCTGGTCCTTCTCAATCTCCATGTTGAGGCGCGCCAATTCCTTCCGATAAAAGTAAATGGAGTCGACCTTTTTGTGGATTAGAGGTAGACCGGGCAGCCATCCGGGGGTCCATTCAAACAGGGGCAAGCGATGTGTCGGGCGATCGGACTTTTTGAGCCATTTCGTCCACTCGGCGTTTGCGTCTTCCGCATCGTCGCCGAGGTAAGCAGGGTTCTCGGGCGCGGGATACTCGGCAGGTATCTCGTCGCCACCAAAGAAGGGCATCTGGGCCTTGATCTTGGCCCACTTGGATTTGCTCTTCTTTTCGCCTGTCGTGCCGTTGCCCTTGCCGTCCGTGTCAAATGGAAACTCATCACCTTCGCTGCCTTGTGGGATGGGCGAGGCGTAGGCACCGCTGGGGGGCTTCCAAAACTGCCACCACTTGCTGTTTTCGGTGGCGACCGCATTGTCCCAGTCGGTCACCTTGCGCGTGGTGTTGCCGTACGTACGAGAGTCCATGGTGCGGTTGTGGATGAGAGACACATCCGAGGGCCGCGGGTCCTGGGCCTGGCCTGGAGTATCAGGCTCGGCTGAAGCATCAGACGGCCGTGTTCTGTGGACAGCACGGCTACCGTATCGGGAACTTTGGTCGCGGTTCGCTTCACCCTCGGTACGAGTCCCTGGGAGAGAGGACGGCCCGCCCGGCACGTCGGTCTCCTTGGTACTTTCGCCGACGAACTCAAAGCCACCGGTTCGCTCGAGTTGGTTGTCAACGCCTTGCTGGAAGTTTTTGGCGCCGCCAACGATATCTCGGCCGGCCTTTCCGAAACCACCCTTGAGGCCTTGGCCGACCTTGGCCAGGCCGCTCCCGATAATAGGCACCTTGAAGCCATTGGATTGCTCGCGCTGCAGGTTGTCAGCGTCGTCGTTGTCGGAGCTGTTGCGTTTGCTATCGTCGCCAACGCCATCGACCTGAGGCACATCCTGGTCGCCGCTGCTGACACCTCCCTCGCCCTCGGCCATGCGCTTGGCGCGGATGTCCTCATCGTGCTCACGCTGGGCTCGCTCAGCCTTGGTTTCGTGTTTAGCCTTGCGTTCGGCCCTTTCCTCCTTCTTGCGTTTCTTGAGCTGGTTTTTCTTGGCTTTGCGAATCAGCTCGCTCTCAGCAGACTCAAGGCGCTGGTGGATGTCGTCGCGCTTGTTGATTTTGTCAAGCAGTTTGGTGTAGTCCCGCGTCAACCAGATATTCCTAATACCGCCAGGGAACACATCAAACAGCCCGCGGAGGGCATGGTCGGTCAGCCATTTAGTGGGGATACCCGAAACCAGGACCGTGTTGGCGGAGGCACGCAGACGGTGCTCAGCGCTGGTGAGGTAGTCCTGGCGGATCTTTATATAGATGCGCAGCTCGTTGTAGGCAATAAAACAGACCCAGGCCACGACCAGAACGGCAATAATCAGGTGAGCCCAGCGGCGGTTAGCGTTCACCGGTTTGATGTTGCCCCAAGCAATGGTGTCCAGACCGGCTGGGATGGATGGGTCCGAGGAGTTGATATTGTTACTGCCAAAGGACTG